ACACAAATGTATTTCTGAAACGTTTCGACTGACCAAAATCAGTTTACTACAAAAACAGCGTAAGAAGTTGCATTCATTTTATAGAAGCTATCAAACGCATTTATTTTTATGCAATGAAGTCACAAATTAACATCGTGAGCACAAAAACACAAATAAATCGGCTATTTCTCACTGAAAAATTTACACAAAAAAGTCGTAAACAGAAATTAGTCTTTTTTCAGTTTATGTGGCTGTGTATTTGATACAAAGTCAATATTATTTATGGGAAATAGGACTTTCGAAACTACCAGATGTTTGAGAAAAAATTGATTATAAATATTCATTAAATTGACTTCAATATAATTCACTTTCCTCTGAATTGCTTCCGAAATCCTCATCCTTCAGAATATGCTTCTTTAGAGTGAATCATTGTTGGGTGGAAGAGTGTAATCCATATATTTGCAAGTTTTGGAGTGACGTGCCCTGGTATCATTTAGGTTGTTCATATTTACTCCGTACAGTAAACAAACAAATTCCTCAGCTTTATTTATTAATGAACCATTGCCCGACCTTTGACTTCTGAAAAAAATCTTCCATTGCGAAATTTCTGGGGCATATTTTAAGAGTGGTTTCGCGAGTTGGTGCCTGTAAAATAGGGTATGTGTTTCAAACCATCATTATGATTCATCGCATACAACAGTCTGTTTTCTAAAAGTACCGGTGAAGAATTTTAGACCAGTCTATCACAGCTAATTCTACACTAATTTTTTATTATTGCAATTAAATTAAAACTCATAAGAAGACAGAGTGGTCATTGAATTATCTGATTTATATTTAAATTTCCGAAACACAACTGAAAACTAACGAATAGAGTTCAAAAACGCAAAAACGAGGTAATCTGTCTGGGCAGAGACAATGCATCTATGCTCTGAGTGAGAAAAGTGTCTGAGCGGATGCGAAAACAGAGCATTGTTACATCACTTTTTGCATTTTGCTGATTGGCCAATGTCATAAAGTAAACAAGAAAGTAGATGCTCGGGGAAAGATCCATGCTTCGTTACCCTCAAAACTGTTTTGATTCTCAAATACCTTGACCATTTTATTCTTACAGGTAATTATCAGAGCAATTGGTCCAGTATTCGAAGAGAAAAGCGATTTCATCTCGACGAAAGAGAAGAATATCAACAAGAACAACAACATAATATCAAAAACGATCCATAGGTCCACTCACGTGTCCAATAAATTGGAAACCCCAATGACGTACGGTAAAAATAAAATATCAAAGTGCCTGAATTCGCAAGCGCCCGGTGTTAGGGAGACCCCCACAACCACTATCACTGAAACCACGTGTGTAGCCTTGTTGTTGATATTTTATTTAGATGCCAGGATGTTGTTACATTCAGACATTACGGTACGATGTATTGCAAATAAATATAGGGTAAGTATATATAATATACTTAAAAGTCTGCAGACATCAGTACCGCCAGACTATATCTGGTAAGATTGTGGAAATATTTAGATATTTCTGTTGTAATTTACGTACCGGTACAGGTAGGAGCTACCGTACCGTAGTTGTAGTGGGAGGCGGACAACTCGACTACACGGACAACTCACCAGAGACAACTCGACTACCTAGAGGCCTGGTGAGTTGTCCGTCTTTTGACATTTTCTACGGTGGTGTTTTAGGTCTATAGAAATGCGTTTTTGATATTTTTAGTGCTCAAGTGTTGAGAAAAACACATAAATATGCTCTAGAAAGCATTTTATTTGTATAAGTGGCTTATTTTGATCATGTTGTATGAATACAAATACAGTCTACAGACGAAATTGGAGTAATTAAAGTTACTTGCCTATAATCCATGACCCTAGAAACTTTACTTGAACCTTAAACACCATATATATTCCCTTAACCAATTTTCCTACCTCTGTATCATACCGCCCTAATTAATTTTAATTATGATTACCGGTACTGTTATTGATTAATAGTATTTAAAATAATTTGGACGTTATTTGGCTTGTTGTGGCTTCTATTTGATGAGTGAAGCAGGTCTAGCCCACCTCTTCATACATCCAACTTGGCAATTCTGATTGGGCAATTTGGCATTAGGTGACTCCAATTATAATCAGCTTGACGATATCTTTTGAGGAATACTTTTTTATCCACAATACATTACTCTTGTTGACTAATTCGGTATCCAATTTGGCAATCCTCATAAAATTATTAATTTGGTGTGGCAAAAGAATTTATTCATTTTATTTTATTTTTTTAATTTGTTTGTATATTTTCCTTCCTTTTTACTTTTAAGTCTCGCTTTTTTCGCTTCCGACAGTATCATGTCTCGATGATTGTGTGTGTGTGTGTGCGTGCGTGCCTTCATTAGTTTTTTTTTACATTTGGGTGAGCGAACACGTACTACTTCTTTTATCAATACCTTTCCATCTAAAATCTGTACGTTTCAAACCTTACTCTAGGTTTTGTTCGCTTTCCCGATTCTATAATCAGTTACTTTTACTTTTGTTTTTATCTATTTTTTTTTATCGTCTATTGCTGATTATGGAGTCGAAATAAACTTATACTTATAAAACGTTAGCGAAGTTTGACTGTTGACTTATAGGACTGTGTTCGTTTAATTTTTTGAACTTTATTGGTATTAAATGTTTTGAATGAGCACCTTTAAATATATTAAAACTTTTATACTTCACAGTAACACTTAAATATTTATGAATGTGAGCTCAGTAGTCTATGATTGCAGTAGTCTGAACTCGACTACGGCAGTCGCCCGACAGGTCGTCAACTCACCAGTCGAGCAAACGCTCTACGACGTGACGTCATCGATGCTCGAGGTGAAGACAACTCGACTACCGAGCAACGAGAGGCAGGCAACTCACCAGCCGAGCAATCGCGATATCGATGCTCGAGGAGAAGACCTTGCTTTGCAGAACGCAGACTCAAGATTTGCATAGCATTTACTTAGTGCCGACTGATATCAGTTGTAAGCCAACTCACCACCTGAGTAGTCTACCAGCCGACGGCTAGGTTCCATCTGCTGGGATACAACAATCGGGTTGGAGTTATGATGGGTGTCATGGGCCTGGTAGCAGTTGCGATTGCTCGACCTTCAATTTCCCTATGATCATATCCCTCATATTTTATCATGTGTAAGCACAAAAGAAGATTCAGAACAGATTGAAAGTGTAAATTAATATAATAAATAATAATAAATTTGGTATGGAACTCTTATTTTTTGCTCCTCTCTATTTAAAATTTATTTAATAACTTCCTAATCCCGATTAGAAATTTTTCTCATCTCTAATTAGATATCATTTTTTTTTTACATAGTGTATATAGTTTTTTTTTCATATGTATATCCTGAGAGTGTAATATTACAGAACCTGTGTTATTAATTTATTTATTCATGTGCTTGCTTTGGGTGGTAACCGACTCAGATGACTGTTAATGGTCGTATCGTTACCACCCTGTCATCTACCGAAATCTAATTTTTCTCATTTTGCTATCATATATATATTGTATGTGTTTTCTGGTTTGACGAAACAATAAAAATTCTCTCTCTCTCTGCTCGGTAGTCGAGTTGTCTTTACCTCGAGCATCGATGACGTCACGTCGCAAAGCGTTTGCTCGACTGGTGAGTTGACGGGCGACTGCCGTAGGCGAGTTTAGACTACTGCAACCACAGGCTACTAAGCTCACATTCATAAATATTTAAGTGTTACTGTGAAGTATAAAGGTTTTAATATATTCAAATGTGCTCATTCAAAACATTTTATACCAATAAAGTTCATAAAATTAAACGAACACAGTCCTATAAGTCAACAGTCTAACATCGCTAACGTTACTCCAATTTCGTCTATAGTCTGTATTTGTATTCATACAACATGATTAAAATAAGCCACTTATACAAATAAAAATGCTTTCTAGAAAATATTTATGTATTTTTCTCAACATTTGAGCACTAAAAAGATCAAAAACGCATTTCTATAGACCTAAAACACCACCGTAGAAAATGCGAAAAGACGGACAACTCACCAGGTCTCCAGGTAGTCGAGTTGTCTCTGGTGAGTTGTCCGTGTAGTCGAGTTGTCCGTCAGCCGTTGTAGTAAATGACCACGGTTCGGAGTATTAGTGTGCCGCCTACGCGCTGACAGTGTCTGAGTCATGAGTGTAGGTGCGTTTATATCCAAGATATAGCCTATTGCAGTACGGTACTGATGGAAGATTCAGAAAACTTGCAGGATACTTAGCTCCATTTAAAATGCTAGAATCATCGTTATTCTTCATAGTTTAATGAAAAAATTAGTGTAATTATTTAAAAGTAACATGTGTTTATATTTATTCCATTCGAGTTCCGTTCCGACCTTCGTCGGGTGCAGACGTGTCAGCTTGAAAAGACTAGTGAATGCTACGCGTTGTATGCTTCGGTATCTGTAATCTGTATCGCGCAATGTCAACATGAGCAAAGCCCATCCACTAAAATAAGAGAAGTTTATGGATAAAAGATTGGATTTAAAGTTAAATGGTGGACGATCCTTTTATGAATCTAGTCGTGTATGATGGAACAGAGCATAGAAAAGATGGGATCACTGCACCTGTTGGAATGGCTGAATGGTGGTCGTTCGTGGAAATTCGATATTAATGTTGGAAGCATTGGAACGGATACAATGATTTTAAAGTGAACTAACCGAAAACGACAAAAGAACCCAATACCCCAATTCATGATTTGTGCATAGACTGCTATGGAACATTCAATCCATTTACCAAGCTTGTTTTTTAGTAAAAAAAAATTTGTCACTGTGTTATTTTTGCAATATAATTGAAGTAGACCCACAACATCACCATTTTTCGTCAGCGAGTGTTCTTTAATCCATATATCTGTATAGGAAAAGCACATACACGTCTCACATTTTAATTTGAATTTATAAGATATTGCCCGATGTCACATCGTGTTTTTGTTTTATTGTGTTTTGCCTGTTTTTGGGGGACGGGCACGTACTTGTACGTATTTAACTTTTTTATTAAGTTATGCCCGTCCTCCAGGTCCTCTGTATTTTGTTTGTCCCTTTGTTGTTGTTTTGTGTTTTGTTTGTATCAGAGTGATCGAATAAAATTGATTGATTGATTATGATATACTGCAGTACTGATTGAAGATTCAGAAAACTTGCACGATACCGTACCTAGCTCCTTTAAAATATTAGAATCATCGTTATCTTTCATACAATCATAGTTTATTGAAAAAATTAATGTAATTATTTAAAAGTAACCAAGATGTAAAGATACCGACCAAAGTTACCCCAGCCCACACCGGCAGTCAACGGGTTAACCAACTATTTTACTCACTTTATAACATCAGAACGCCAGCCCCACAGTCATGGGATGCCAGCCCACAATCGTTTTTGTTAGGCCATGTTAGGTGTAACTAGGCCTGTAGGCTGAGCTTGGTATTGCATTTGCGTGGAATATATCAGCTATGGCAGTATGGGCTATATATTATCAGGGCAAATAGTTTTCATGAAATAAGGTTTATAAAGTGAGTAAAATAGTGGGTTAACCCGTTGAACGCAGGGTGAGTGTGGGCTGGGGTAACTTTGGTAGATACTGTATCTCATCGCCCAGTGTTGCCCGTCATTTACAATCCCGAATTTACCCACTGTCTGACTGTGCTTAATGGCTTAACTTGAATTGATTTAAATTAATCTACTGAGTATGTGAATAAGACTGTAAAATAAGAGTCTCCTAGGCTATATAGGATACTTAATTAATGATTTTTAATCTCGCAATTCTGAAATTCAGGTCTGCAAAAAATAAGATAGGAAAACGGTATAAGAAACCGTAAGAATGGCAAGAATTTTGATAATTGGTTCTGGGGGAAGAGAACATGCACTAGCATGGAAGCTGTCACAGTCACCTCTTGTTAAGTCCGTTTTGGTGAGCCCAGGAAATGGAGGAACTGATAACAACATTGTGGAAAACGAAATGTCGGAACATGCTAAGAAATACCAAAAAGTAATGAATGTCATTGATGTTCCATCAGACAATTATGAAAGTCTCAGTTTGTGGTGCAAACTGAATGAAATTAGCCTTGTTGTTGTTGGTCCCGAAGTACCACTGGCAGCTGGAATATGTGATGTACTAGCAAAAAACGGTGTGAGATGTTTTGGGCCAACCTCTTCTGCTGCTGCTCTGGAAGCCAGTAAAGAATATGCCAAAGAATTCATGGTGAGAAATGGCATTCCAACCGCACAATTTAAAAGTTTTAAAGATGCTGATTCAGCCATTGCTCATATAAATACAGCGAATTATGATGCGTTGGTTGTGAAGGCAAGTGGACTTGCAGCAGGCAAAGGTGTCGTGGTATGTGAAACTGCTACTGAAGCTTGTAAAGCTGTAAAGGATATTTTTGAACAAAACTTGTTTGGTTCATCTGGTGATACTTTGGTTGTGGAGGAACGGCTTTATGGTGAAGAATTCTCATTGCTTTGCTTTACAGATGGTGACACTATTGCTGTGATGCCACCAATACAAGATCACAAACAGGTGTATGATGGCGATAAAGGTCCAAATACTGGAGGGATGGGTGCCTATGGCCCATGTCCTCAAATAGATCATAAAGTGGTCGAATATATAACGAATCATGTTTTGCAAGTAGCAGTTGATGGTATGAAGAATGAAGGTAAAAAATATGTTGGAGTTTTATATGCTGGTATCATGCTCACAAAGGATGGACCAAAGGTGTTAGAATTTAATTGTAGATTTGGAGACCCAGAGTGTCAAGTTCTCATGTCATTATTAGATTCTGATTTATATGAGATTTTCACACAGTGTTGCAAAGGATCCCTCAACTCTTCTCATATTTGCTGGAAAAACACAAAATCTGTTTGTATCGTCCTGGCTAGCTCAGGTTACCCTGGAGCATATGAAAAGGCAAAGTGATAACAGGTATAGGGGCAGGCAATCAAAATCCAAATTTGAAGGTGTTCGAAGCAGGAACAAAGTTAGATTCTGATGGCAACAAAATCACTTCTGGAGGACGTGTCTTGTCAGTTTGTTCAACAGCATCTAACTTAGAAGATGCAACAAGAATTGCTCTTGCTGGTGCTGAAGTGATCAAATTTGAAGGGTCATTTTATCGAAAGGATATAGGATGGAAAGGTCTGGAGTATATAAAAAACAAGCCGAAACTTACATATGCATCATGTGGTGTTAGTGTATCTAATGGTGACGCATTTGTTCATGGAATTTCATCAATAGCTTCGTCGACTGCCCGTAAGGGATGCACTGCAGTGCTTGGTGGATTTGGAGCCCTTTTTGACCTTGCTGCAGCTGGTTACTCTAATCCTGTTTTAGTGTCTGGAACTGATGGTGTTGGAACTAAACTTCTACTTGCTCAGGGAAGTGGTCGTCATTCGACAATAGGTCAAGATCTTGTTGCAATGTGTGTGAACGATGTTTTGACTCATAACGCTGAGCCTTTGTTCTTTTTGGACTATCTTTCATGTGGAAAACTTAAATCTAAAATTGCTACTGAGGTTGTTCATGGCATTTCTGAAGCCTGTAAACTTGCAGGCTGTGGTCTTATTGGTGGAGAAACAGCTGAAATGCCAGGCATGTATGCAAATGGAGAATATGATTTAGCTGGCTTTGCAGTAGGTGCTTATGATAAAAAGTTACACACACCATTGCCTCGTTTAAATGAAATATCGGAAGGAGATGTCATCGTTGGTATATCTTCAAATGGTTTACATAGCAATGGCTTCAGCCTAGTTAGGGAAGTTGTAAAGATATCTGGCTGCAATCTATCGGAATCAGCACCATTTGATAACAATTGCAATCTGCTGGACTGTCTTCTTGCACCAACAGCAATTTACACAAGTCTCTTACCAGTTTTGAGATCTGGAAACTTTGTAAAAGCTTTGGCTCATATCACGGGCGGTGGTATAAATGGTAATCTAGCTCGCGTTATTCCTAATGGAATGTGTGCTATAATTTGTGCCAAGCAGTGGGAAATTCAACCCGTGTTTGGATGGTTGTCGAAAGTAGGTGATATTGACTTCCAAGAAATGCTCAAGACTTTCAATTGTGGCCTTGGTATGTGCATGGTTATTGCCAAAGAAGGGGTAAATGCTGTTATGGAAAATTGTAGAGTTCGTTTGGCCTCATCTAAGCTAAATGCATATGTCATCGGATATATAGAAAAATCAGATGTTGAAAATAAAGTTATTGTCAATGATTTTGCCGAAGCTTTAAAAAACTCGTGGAATCCTAATGTAACTGAAGTTGATAATGCCCTAAATCTCCCATCAATTGGAAATTCTGAAAAACCGAGTGTAGCAGTATTTATATCTGGAACAGGGACTAACATGCAGGCATTGATTAACCATGAAAATACAGCTTCATCCTCGTACACAATATCACTTATCATATCTAATAAAGCCAATGCGGGAGGGTTGAAGAAAGCATCTGCTGCTAACATATCATATATTGTGCTGGACCATAAAAACTTTCCCACACGTGAAGCATATGATCTTGCAGTGCATGAGGTTTTGATGAAGAAAAGAGTTCATTTTATATGCCTAGCAGGATTTATGAGATTGTTATCTGGGTGGTTTACTAGGACTTGGCGGGGTAGAATAATCAACATTCATCCCAGCTTACTGCCATCTTTTAAGGGCATGGATGCTCATAAACAAGTTCTGAAATCTGGTGTGAGAATAACAGGATGTACAGTACATTATGTGACTGAAAATATGGATGAAGGAGCAATTATAGCCCAAACGGCTGTTTCAGTTGAAATAGATGATGATGTTACTTCTCTTTCTGAAAGAGTGAAAACTGCAGAACACCAAACGTATCCTAAAGCACTTGATCTAGTTGCTAGTGGTCAAGTACAGTTTAATGATCGAAGTAACAAGGTCACATGGCTAAACAAATAATAACTCCTTAGTAAGAGTTTTATGTACATAACAATATCTTGTCTCTTTTATCACTGACAGGGAGGCTTTGGCTGATGGGGAGAAAGAAATTCGATACAATATCGAATCAAAACCAACCATGTTTCTATTTTCAGCTTGCTTCTAGTCCGTTGTCACTATTTCATGCCTAATATGTTACTTGAGTCTTTCGCTAATGGTTAAATGTACATATACATGACAGACAGTTTGTATTGTAAGTATGTGTACTTCTCCAGTCATTACCACAGCTATTATTATATTGCCTAATGTATGCAAGCATCTATACTTTGTCACTATACTCAGCAACTTTACTACAGGTTTGTGAATTTTGATTTCACATCAGTGTTAATATTTTGTTTATATTACAGCATTCATATCACTTCAGTTTTCTTGCCACATTTTCGTGAAACTTTGCAGTGATATCTTGATCAATTAATCATGTATTAATTTTGTATTATGCAAGCGTGTCTGATATTACTGTATCTTGCCACAATTTCTGACACTCTGTGACCTATCTTTTTTGCATTTTTCTACTTGAACACTGTCCATTTAGTAGTACAGGGAAAATTTTGTTGCAATTACAGCCAAGATTGGAATGAGTGTATTTTTACTTTTGAGTTTGGCCATTTCAGCATAAGCCCAAAGACCAGCAGGGGGTTCACACGATCCCGTTCATGAAATGTCATGGTACTCCCGAACCCGTTGTTGTTTAAGACGTCAGACGGCCGTTGCGAGTGGTTAACTCACACTTGCGTTATAGTTGGCGTTTGGAATGTTATTAGACTTATGTAAGTATGGTGTATTTATACAGTGACTTAGCTTGAATCGTTTGAAAGAAAATTTGTGCCTCTCTTTAAAATTCAAATGGTTAAACAATTCCAAACCAAAAAACAAAATTAATTACGCTAATAAAACCTGCCGCTTTGGGGATCACTGAACCACCGTGTTTAATTACGTGGTTAAATCACGAATAAGTCAGCTTTCAGGAAATGTTCCTCACGAGTCGTTGAGGAAATGGCGTATTCGGTGTGGCGCATCTTGCTAAGGCTTAGGAATGCGATCACCATCCACCACTGATAACCCCGCGTCGGTTCGCAGGTTCTGATTCAATGGGGGATAATTATGTGCAAGAAAATTGATGGACTCTTCACTGCCGCAGGGAGGTTCACGTAGCCACTGATCGGTTATGCCTTCCTCCTCCATTAAGTCCATGCAACTGAAACAAATAACTCTCTAATCTTATACCCGACATGGACTGACAACCGGTTTTCTTTTTCCCCGGGACGCATACGTAAATGCAATCTTCTGCTCATTCCCCTTTTCAATTTAGCACCTAGCTTGATGAAAGCTCTGTTTCTCAGCACTCCTACTGGTTTGCAACTTGAAAACGAAACCGCTCTAATTTGATTGTTACTCATTACATATTGTGCAGAACAAACATTTTCACAGAGCATCAAAGAATTCAGTAAACCAAATTTCCAATGCTCACTGTCACGCAATGGGTTCGGAGCATGAGATGCTTTCTACCTGCCAGCAATGGTCGGATTTTTTGGACAAAGCCTCAACAAACAAAAAAACAGTCGCCGCTTAAAATAAAAAAAATAGTGATTATTCAAGCTAGGAATCGAGATTGAGCTGGAAATTCAAATCATTCCGAACCCCAACTGGATAATTACTACTTTATTTTAAAATGTGGCGGGGGTGTGTTTCCCAAATCCCGCATAGCATAAGTTGCAGTACAAAAGATCTTTTGATTAAATATCAAAATTTCCGGTGCAGATCAGTCTTTAAAAAATTAGGGGTTCCGTCAGCCTAATCATTTTCAGAAAAAAGTAGAGTGCTGTTGATAACGAATTGATATTTTGTTAAATTCAAACAAACTTAGTTAAAACAAATATAGGCAAGAAAACTTCTGACCGTGCCGTTAAGGCGCTTGGCTTCCTGCAACTAGTGTTTTCTATACTGGTACCAGTTTTAGAAAACCAAGCAAAGCATTTATTGCATTCCGATTGTGAACATACTTGATTCGCGTTCACACTTGTGCGTCTGTTTTTGTTGGCAGGTGGTTGCGTTCTCGTACGTTTTTAACTTTATTCAAGGTATGCTCAAACTAGGTTTTTCTGTATTCTATTCATCTGTCTACTTTCCGTGTTGTTTTGATTTATGTCAGAGGACCTAAATAAAATGATCGATGGAACGCTGGCTTTTTATCATCCTGGCACAAAATATATGCCTGACCAAATACCATCATCGATCTGAAGAAAGATCAATCAAATTACCTGATAGGGAAAGTTTATTAAAATAAGATAATTGTGACTGCATGAAAAACAAGTACAATCTTTCAAATAATGAACGTATGATAAGCGTTAAATATGTTAGCATAATGCTAATTACAGAACGATTCAAAATGAGAACCACAAAGACATTAATGGAAGTCTTTGAAGAACATAATAAAATTGGGTCACCTACCTTTTTTGTTTCATATAATCAAGTACTAAATAAAGGGACAATCCTTTAGGAATAAAACATTAACATTTGTTGGCTAGAATAATTCTAAATACTTCAATTAGGCAGATGAAGTTAAAAAAAATAATTTTTACCAAATGAATAAAAAGTGATAGCGTTGTGTGTTTAAGATGTGCAATCTTTCATACAGAAAACAGTCAATTATAATATCCACATCTCATGATTTGAAACACATAGTTCATGGAATAAATAGCATACTAAGTTATCTGCTATCCAGCTGATTTGAACATATGGAACTTTTGAACTGAGAATTTCACAAAAATAATTGCTCAAAACAAGATTAGGTAGATAGAATTCAGGCTGGATAATTGAATGCAATACCAAAAATAATCAAGGTCTGAGCATTTCTGAGGCAACAAGGATGTCTAGAAAATCACAGTGCTTTGCCAAATTGTATTTTCTGACCAGCCTCAACTCTGTATTTAAAGTCTTTTGGGGCTTCAAAAATAAGTACTATGGTTGAACCAAGATTAAATTCTCCCATTGACAACCCCTTTTGTGCTTCAACATTGTTGTACACCTCATCGTAATATCCACCATAAACTCGTTTTGGTCTATTCGTCTTTAGTGTAATATCTCCATATATCTCAACAGACCCAACGTTCGTCGCACCAACTGCAGTCATTGAAAAAAATCCATGTTGCCATTTCCCCAACAAACCCACTCGCTCATTCAAGACAAACAGACTTGGCACCATTGATGCTATCTTTGGGCTTACACTCAAAAGATCACCAGGAAAATGCCTTCTATGCTGCACAGTCCAATTAGCTGGAGAATGAAACCTATGGTAATCACCTGGTGCAAGATAGATTACACAATGATAAAGACTGTTTTCAGTTGGATTATGCATTATAGCTTTCATGTAGTTCTCCAGTGGAACAGTGCACCAATTGTGCTGATAGAGATCTTTCTCTCCCCATTCCTGATGAACAGGATCAGCGTGTAATGGCCCAAGAAATTTTTGCAAAGAATAGTGAACCCCCTTCACTTGTTCCACAAGACCATTTGTAACTTCTCCGAAATTAAGAACTGTACCATCTACGGGGCTTACTAAGTCAGCTTTGTAGTCAATTGGACGTACTTCAGATTTGATGGCTCTGCGAAAAAATTCGGATAAATTTGCATAGTTTTTCAGGTTTGAATCTAATGCCTCCTCCATATTTACACCATAAGCTTTTGTAAACAAGCCTAGAAAATAAGGTCTTAATGTAACTGGTAGATTCATACTCTGATTGGCTTTGCCCCAAGCACGTGAAATTGCTCGTAAAGGGAGGCCAAGATACACTTTCAACATAATATTTCTTTTCTCTTGAGGCATAATTGCACTGTTGAGTCTCAAAGTGGGATCATTTAGCGCAGACTTTCTATCAACAATATCAGGATAAAATATCCATCCAACAAATACTCCAGATGTAGCAATGATGGCTGCCTTGAAAAAGGTTATTACATCTGGGAAAACAGGAAAATATTTTCTTCCCCATTCCTGCTCCTTTTTTCTGTTATCTATGAACTGTTGAAGCTTTTTTGATTCTTTAACAGTTGCTGCATGCTTCTTTAAACCTTGTCCTTTATAAGGTAAACCAAACATTCTAAAAAGGTTAGGGCATGAAGCAATCCTTCTAATCCCTGCAGTTTTCCAAGACTTTGGTAGAAGACTTGGCTGTTTCCATGATGCATTATATATAAGACGACCAATGGGTGAAAGTGGAGGTAAAGTGTTTGAAGCATTTCTGAAAGTTGAAACAGTAGCTGTCCAACCATGTTTTACTGGTCTAGGAGTGTTTTTGGCAACATATCGGAAAACAGCAGCAAATAGTATTTTTCGAGCATCGTTCGCTGTCATTCTATTGATTGGATTTTAAATATTATCTGATAAGAAAGGTGAAAATTGATGAAAAAACACATTGACACTAAGAGTGTGATTGATGTGCATAATTGCTCAGAATCAACAAACCAAAACTCAACACCTATTTTCGAGCATCGTTCGCTGTCATTCTATTGATTGGATTTTAAATATTATCTGATAAGAAAGGTGAAAATTGATGAAAAAACACATTGACACTAAGAGTGTGATTGATGTGCATAATTGCTCAGAGTCAACTAACCAAAACTCAACACCTATATTGCTTGTTAATCATGTAAACTAGTATCAAAGACACAGTTTTACAAATCAAGTACCGGTAATCGCCCCCAATCACTCTTTTTATATTTTTCCAGTTTAGATCAGGGCTGGGGAACTGGTTCGAAATCAAAGTGACTTTGGCTCCAGCATCAAAGTATATTCGAACTGTGGATCCAGCTCTGGCATTTTATACGTCAGAGCTGGGCTCCAGCTCCAGCTTATTTTCTTCATACTCATTATTATATCTGCCCAAATACCGCTTGGTGGAAGTAGGACTCAGGACTATGATACAAGGGTTTAACTTTTCAAAATTAAAACTTTCAAATATATATATTGAACTCGGAAACTTTTTAATTAATATTATAATTAAAATCTATAAAAATTTACAAGCTGAAAAGGGTAGTTTTTATTATTTGTATGAAGTTTTGAAAAAATTATAAATGTTGAAAGATAATTAGATTAGGAGATGAGCCACTTATATTTCTGGTATCTCCAGCTCTATCTGTCTATCTAACTTTGAAAGCTTGGCTCAGACTCCAGCTCTCATGCTTGGTTAAGATGCATTCTTGTGGGGGTATTCCTGTCAGAATTTCAGTTAGATATAAGTTGATACAAAGTCTGACTTGTTTACACACAAAATGATATACACATAGGTTTAAATAAATCCAAAAAATTATAAGTTAAAAATATATGACAGATAACTATCGTAATTCATTATATAATTATTATAGACTTGGGAGGGAATATATATCTGTATATATAGCTATATGTGAATGGTGGTCCAATTTAATTCAGATAAATAGTAATGATACTGCTTAATTGAATTGATAAAATTGAACTTTGATTGATTTCTTTGATTTTCAAAACAATATTAGTTCACACATTTTGTTTTTGCTCACAACTGATGTATAGATTAAAATAGAGTTTAGCTTGTCCTGCACAATTTTCTGTTTTGCAAACACACACACAAAGAATTAAGCCAAAACACAAACCTAGGCAAACGAGGCTTGGGTAAGAAATGAACAAAAAATACGCAAATGTATGTATGTATGTTCATTCGTCTCGTAAAAGCAAAATAAAAAACAGTTAGTGATTATCAACATTGAAGACGGGATGTATACACAAGACCATACTAGCCTAAGACACATGAAAGTGCGGCATACACCCCTTATGATAAGCATAAAATGCAATAAATCAAATAAGTTTATTAATATGGTCCTTCATACAGACATGTGCGCAAGGTTTGGCAACATGGTACCGGTACCGTACCATACCTAGTCTACTTTTAATATAGGCTATGGTACGTACCGGTACGATCTGATACAAGGATAACATGCGAAATAACAATTTTTAAATTGCCAAATATTCACATCCTAGAATCTATCGCATCGGATGAAACCACTCATAAAAAGACAGCCTAAGTCAAAACAAAAAGAGATGAAAAACAATATTGCTCTCTTTCGACATCAAAGGTGGAAACGGACTTTGAACCCTTCAACTTTAACCCAAGATGCAGTGTAACCTTTGGCGATATAATTCTTTGTTCCTACTCTATGTTTTCAAACGAAAAAGACTCTGTACAAGTTCAATATTATATCCGACGTAATTGTTACAAAACATCTATTCCATATTCTGTATCAGCCGACTTACCGGTAGATAGATAGTCCAGTTGGATCTCCGCCATTGCTTGAGGCCCGCATCATTTCAGTTTACTAACGGATAATAGGAGACGCTACTAAAAACGCCAGTTCATTTTCAACGCTGCGTGTTCCGCTAAGTTCATTTCAAACGCTGCGCGTTTCGTAGTCTTAGGGCCCGTTCACACCACACCTCAATGGTTCACACTGACGCATAGGTTTGTGTTGCGTTGGGAACGGAATCCAACGCAATTGCGTTGAGGGTGTTCATACTTCGAATGCGTTAACGCAGCGTGCTACGGTTCACTCATTACGTAACAATGGCGGGAAATTTCGTGTCATCTGCGAAATAAATTTAACTATCGAAAACCTAACCAATTATTAATTAGGCCAACCCAAACCCGAAAAATGGAAGTTAATAGAGTTGGTTAGGGAGAAGGATTGTTTGTGGGCGGTTGATTACCGGAACAAAATTTTGAAGGAAAAAGCGTGGATAGAGGTTGGCGAGGAAATGGGAATAGGGGGTAAGTTTATCTCGCACTTCGGGGACCGGAGAGGACAGTCATTTTAAGTCAAATGCAACCGAAAATAACAGTACCGGTATTCTTGTTTTAACAGTGAAAGAATGCAAGACAAGGTGGAGGTCGTTGAAAGATAGGTTCAGGAGAGAGAAGGCGTTTGAGAGTAGGAGTGGGGGTGGATGTAAAAAAATGGGAGTTTATGGGTAGCTTAGAGTTTTTAAACTCGTACTGCGAAAGCAGGAGGTGGGGAAAACATTTTTACTCTACCCATACCGTACGTCATTACCACAAAAGCCCTATTTTGATTTTTACAAAGACTGAATAAAACTTCATAAAATATTTCACGTCATACACTCCACTATACAAAGACTGAATAAAACTTCATAAAATATTTCACGTCATACACTCCACTAAGTATACTGATATGTCAATAAAATGACACTTTCATAGAAAACAAAACTCTTTTATTTGAAACAATGTATAACAATAAACTGAAAACTTGCTTTTCCCATCCTGTAATCATCATTGACCTGTGAAAAACAAAGATGCCTTACTAAGTAATGAGTATGAGGTAACATATGGCCCCTGCTTAATTTTAGAACATCTAGCAGTGTGCCTGAAGATGTCACCCTCGTTGTATATGAAAAGACGGGGAAGAGTCTTCTTCCAGCTTGGATATCGATCAGGCCATTTTACGCCTAGTTAATAAAGGTCAGTCGTATTCATATTTATTGCTACTACAAAACTCTGATATACAAAAAAGTAAAGATATCGATAATTAGAATTATTTGAAATGAACAGTATAATTGCAGGAAAGATACACATAATGAAGAAACAGTAGCTACTCCTCTAAATGTTTTTTTTGTTTTTTCCAGAACAAGATGATGCTGAAATATTTGCCCAATCGCTTGTGCAGACATTTAGACGGTTGCCAAATAAAAAATTTCAGCATGCATAGATTGAAATTCAAGAAGTTTTGTTTCATCTAGAATTTAATACAGATTAGATACATGCTGAAATATATACTGGTTTGTAGTACTTTTATGTGTTACGAATATATTTGAATGCTAGATGGGGGGTGGCACACAATGACGCAACAAGATATGCAACTTCAACCTCGATATATTAGTGATGTTTATTGCGTAATATTGATCTGATCACCTTCAAACTTGGTCATTTTGCCATCCAATAGCTCCTTGGCCACTAAGGAAATCAGTGTACGATTCCCTTGTAGCAATCGCCCGGGATGTTGCACGACCCCCAATCTGTGACAAACTTCTCAGTAATGTATTGTTGTCAGCTTCTGAGGAAGCTTCCTGCACTCCTTCTGGCTGATTTTCTATTTTCCTCAAAAAGTTATGGAGGCAACAGGTAGCCTTCACCAACCCCATCAGCATTTGTAGGCTGAAGAGGCATTACCCTATGGAATACTCTCCATTGGTTGGAAAGTATTTCAAAAACACTCTCTACCATTCGGCGAGCCCTTGACAACCTGTAGTTGTATATTTTCTGTTTTGAGTTCAGGTTGTTCCCACCATATGGTCTCATAATATTTTCCTTTAAAGGGAATGCCTCATCAGCTACAAATACAAATGGGGTGCAGTCTCCATGACTCGTCCTTCCCAATGGCCTGGCAAAACCAAGAATGTCATGAGATGATTTCACATATTAATTTTGTAATGTTACTATGGATTGTAGATCGGACTTATTTCAATGTATTATACTTAGTCATACCCAATGTGTAAAACAAACGGTTAGAAGCAAACATGCCAAACTTACCTGAATTTCTAAGAATCGCTCAATGCAAACATATATCTTAACTACTTGACAAAAAGGTTCCTGCACATATAACAAACACAAAAGACTCACACACGTTATACAAGGTGGTAACATATGACATACATACTACTGTGATATTAAACAAAATCTAACATGAAGTAAATTTTGGCTAATGTTGAAAATAGGCAATTAGAACATCAAACACAGTACTGTTCACAAAAGCTTACAAAAGTGGTCGGTAATGAGCAAAGTGTTGGAAATAACATTTATTTTGTAAATATTCGACTGCCAAGTGCCAGCCTACCTAGGATTAGGAAGATTGAGGGTACCATTGGCCAATCTTCTGCCAAAACAGGAGTCAGCAAATATACCCCCATCACTGCTCCTCCCATACCCTCCAACGTCGACTGCCACAAATTTTTAACTGTGAAAAGATAAACATTATGAGCATTTGTCAATGATTCAAAAAAAAAAATCAATAACAAGTCATAATTTGCTTAATCTCACTTTGCATCCACCACAGCCATCAACACAATGCTGTGCGTCTTCTTATAATTAAAAAACATGGATCCCGAATTGTTTGGGGCTTGAATGATGACATGTTTGCCATCAATGGCACCTAAACAATTCGGGAATTGCCACCTCGCTTCAAACTCATTCCCAATTGTTGTCCATGCAGCTTGGGTGGATGGGCATTGCAAAACCATTGGTTGGAGTGTGTCCCAAATGCCTCTATAAAAGTCAATATATATAAAATTATGACAAAATCAATAAAAACAAAAAAGAACATTTTGATAATCAGAGAAACGAAATGCCATGATATCAAGTTGGGATTTATCAAAAATACAAAAGAAAATAATTATTTGAAAATCATACCTGCATGTATCTGGTACAATGAAGGAAACCAGTGGAAATCCCTAAACGATAACTATTGGCAATAGTCCGATAAGAGTCTCCGGTTGCCAAGAATCTAAAAGTGACAAAATTTATCATATTAATGAAAAAAGACACAAAATCAAATTGCACAACATAG